TTTTACAGTTATATCACTGCTCCTGCTGTTTGAATTGCATTTCTTTTTTGTTAGTCTGCTCAGTGTTGGATTGTTTGTCTTGTCTTGGTGTTTGTGAGGGCGGGCTAACAATTTTTTTCCCCATTTATTTTGTTTTGTTTTTCGGTCACTTCCTAAAAATGCACACCTTATTTGTATGACCATAAAATTTGCTAATTGATTTTATACTGGCTGTTGATTGCAATGGGGAGTCGTAACACTAGCAGCAGGAGGGAAAGTTGTGTTGCTGGTTTCCATGATGGATAATGAATATTTTGGGATTTTAAGCATCTTGCATCATGATTTTCCATTTTATCTGAGCATACTCAGGTTAGACTACTGGCTCCTCCCACCAAAGTGTCTGTCATTGGCATTATGTGCAAGGTAACCAGGTGAAAGCATCACATAATTAACTATTGGATGTGCCAGTGCTGAAGAAGTCAAACTCTTTAGTGATTTTAGCACTTTTATATTTAATAACTCCTAACCAGAGTGTTTCCCTCTCAGGCTGAGGAAATGTCAGACCTTCATGAAGGTGGAGCTACAGGTAACACTGCAGCTGCTTTCACTTTCAGTTTGTTGCTCAGCAGCTGTTCAGACGGTTCTGTAAACTCCGATTCCGGATCATCAGGACTTTCTCACAGAGTCTCTGCTGAACGTAGGTGAGTGAAACTTTTTACATCCGTCTTTGTTTCCTCTCACTCAGCTTTTCTGTTCGGTTTCTGCTGAGTTCAAACATCCACGCAGGTTTGTTTTGTGTGGAAATGTTGAAGTGTTTCAGATTATTGTTGATAGGATGGTGGCATAAATTACATGTAGAAGTCCTTAATTGTGCCATAAATCTAATTTTACCGAGGACCAGATGTTTGTTTAGAGATCAGCAGCAGTACTTTCCTCTCATCTGATTGGCTTTTTGGTTTTTGTTTTTCTAACTGGTTGACATTTCCTGCAGAAATATGATCTAATGGGGAGGAAGCGGCAACAGAGGAATTTAAACAAAACAACTCGACATGTTTATAGTTTCATAACACATAATTAGTAATGTGTTTGTTTTTATCTGGACTCTTTACTGAGATCAGAACAAAATGTTCCCTCTGTGAAACATTAATAAAACTGAAGCACCAAAGCAAACGGTTTCTGAAATGAACCCAAACCTTTCACCGATTTGGCCTAAAAAGTTTTCACACCCTTAGATGTTTTACCTTTTTAATATTTTTTATAAATCAATCATAATCAATTATATATTTATTTTTTAACAAAAACCCTTCAATGTCAGGGTGAAAACTGATTTCTAGGAAACACAAATCAGCAGCATAAATGAAGTGATTGCAGTATTCACCCCGTCAGTCAGTTTTTAGTATTTGCCCCCTGGCTGCCGTCCGGCAGGCAGTCGGTTTGGATCCGTCTCAGTCAGGCTGCTCATCTATTCGCTGCAGTTTTTCTGCTAAACTCTTCCAGCTCTGTTGGGTTGGGATCAGCTGGGAAGAGCTCTGAACTTTGACTGGAATGTGTTTTACTGCTTTAATTTGACCTTATGGACCTTCACCAAGCTGCTGCAGAGAAGCCTGGTGTGTTTTTGGTGATGAGTGTTTGGTGTCCACCTATCACAGTATCTTGTCTGATAGGCAGAAAGGTCCGCTTTGGTCTCAAAGACCAGAAAACATCTGTCCACTGACCATGGAGTCTCTTCTATGCCTTTTGACTTGATGTGAGTTTTCTCATCACCTCTCTCCATAATAGTTCCTTCAGCATCGTCATGGTAACCTTGGTGACCTCTCTGGTCTCCTTCTTCAAATGTCACTCAGGTTGTGGGGACGGCCTGATCTAGCCAGATTTACGCTCTGTTCCTTTAATGTGTTGATGATTTAACTGAACTCCAGAGTCTGTTTGGTTTCTGTTGGTCTTGCCTGGCTCCCTGTGCATTCTGGGTTCTCTCTGGGTACTCCAGGTTCCTGTTGTCTTCTGAAGACATGCTAGGTTTATTAGACGGTTAGCTGCTCTCAGGCAGTTGTTGTCAGTCCTGTGTGTCTCTGTGTTGCTGGACTGGTGACCTCAGAGTTCTGACCAGCTGTGCTGTTGGGTTTCAAACATCTCACCTTCTTGCCTCAGGTCCCGGCGCAGGCATGTCCACGGCCAGCTGTCTCCTATCTGAGGACCAGTTTCGGTGCTTCATCTGTCAGAATGTCTTCACGGATCCGGTCAGCACACCATGCGGCCACAACTTCTGCAAGAACTGCGTCACAGAAAACGTGTGTGATGATGTCCCGTTTCAGTGTCCAGCGTGTGAAAAGATGTTCTTTCCAAGGCCGGAGCTGGAGGTCAACACTCTGATCGCTGAGCTGCTCGATGAGTTCAGAAGGTCAGCTCTACGCCAGAACGCAGAGGCAGAAATCCCTGGTCCAGTTAGCGGCAATCTCTTCACTAAAAACAGAAAGATTGCCATATTATGTGGCATGGTTCTCTTATTTATTTTATCCTCCCAAGTCAATCACAGCCCTCCTCTGACAGAGGAAACTGAAGGGAATGCAAAGGGAATCATGGAGGACATTTGGTCCTGGAGTCCAGCAAAGAGATGCCAGAATCTGACCTCTGGACAGAACTGGACTGCGGTGGGTCCGCTCTCTGCCTCTCAGCTGGAGCAGATCTTCACTGAGGTGATGAATAAGGAAACTCCCAGGCTGCTGATCCGAGCCGAGCTGATGAGAGCAAAACACTACGCCGTGGATGTGACTCTTGATCCGGATACCGTTCATCCCAAACTCATCCTGTCGGATGATGGGAAACAAGTGAGCTGTTGCAACCCAACGGGGAATCTCCCGCATGACCCAAACAGGTTTAGGTATCTTAAATATGTTTTAGGAGAGCAGAGCTTCTCCTCCGGCAGGTTTTACTTCGAGGTCCAGGTGAAAGGAAAGACTAATTGGACTATCGGCGTGGCCAAGGAGTCTGTCTCTCGGACAGATCGCGTCAGACTGATTCCTCGGTCTGGTTTCTGGTCCCTAACTGTGAGGAATCAAAACGAGTTCTTTGGTCTGTCTTCCCCTCCTGTCCCATTATCTCTGAAGTCTGGTCTGGAGAAGGTGGGGGTGTTTGTGGATTATGAAGAGGGTCTGGTCTTCTTTTATGATGTAGATGCTGCTGCTCTGATCTTCTCCTTCACTGGTTGCCACTTCACTGAGAGACTCCACCCATTATTTGGTCCAGGTCATAACAACGATGGGACAAACGGGGCCCCTCTGATTATCACACCGGTCTCCATTGTCCCTCAGTAACAACCCGATAATCCATCTGCTTCCTTTCTCCTGGTTCTCCAAATGCTTTTTCTTTGATGATCCACTTCAAGCCTTTCACTCAGATCAGTTTCTCCCATCCACTTCTGATAAATACAAAAGACTGTTACTGAAATGTAGCATTTTAGTGTGAACCTATATATACCGCTCAGTATTCACGTATTTTCATGTGGAACATAACTAACTTATTGGTGGAAAACATGCGCACAGTGGACACTAATGTTAATAATGATAATCCTAAATCATAAACATGAGTTGCACAAACAGATGTGCTATAGATGCTAATGCTAAAGTGCTACTATCCTCCTTTTTTTGTTTCTTTTGAAAATTTTTTTTATTGTTACTGAGGACATCCATCCATCCATCCATTTTCTGAACACCCTTGTCCCTCAGTGGGGTCGGGAGGGGTGCTGGTGCCTATCTCCAGCTAACGTTCCGGGCGAGAGGCGGGGTACATCCTGGACAGGTCGCCAGTCTGTCGCAGTACTTAGGACATTTTATAGCATAAACACATTTATACAGAAAATCTTCACATAAAAAGACTAAAATACAGTTTGTCACATTTCTCACTAAAAGAAGATAAGAACAAGGATGTTAAAAACCAAACTCTGTACATTAAAAGTTGAGCAGGACCGGGGTGACTCCTTACTAAGTTCTGAGCCATCCCGTCCTTCCAAACAGCGCTTGGTGCCCAGAGGAGAAAACCTCCCCTGCTGCTCCTTCCCTCCTTCCTCACCCGGAGGGCCAGGCCGCCGCTGCCGGGACCTCCGTACGTGGAGCTCCGGCTCCTTCGTCCATGGAGGTGCAGGCGATGCTTCTTTGTGGCTGTGTCCTTGGTGCGCCACCTGCAGCTCTGATGTTTTCTCTTTTCGCTGCCGCCATCCGGATCACAGCCACAGGGGGGATCTGCCTGCGCCTGCTTACCAGCAAGTTTCTGGAGGTCCATATGGCGTCTTTGACGGTGGCAAGGGTGAGCCACATCTCTGCAAAGTCTTTTTTTCTCCATTTTCTGGTGGCTCACCCCGTACAGCACGAGCTGTAGATCGAGGACCTCCCTTGCTGGCAAGTATGGGAATTGCAAGGAGCCGGCCTCTGCCCACAGGTCCCTGGCAGCGCTGCACTCCCACAGCAGGTGCCTCACCGACTCCGGCGCGCCACAACCGGGTCGGGGGCAGATGGAGGTCGCCGACATGCCGCGGGAGTGCATAACGGCTCTGACCGGGAGGATCTCATGGGCCACCATCCAGGACAGGTCCTGGAGTCTGTTCGGAAGGACGGGATGGCTCGCGTTGCGCCAAACTGCGGTGGCGTCTCCACGCAGGAGGCCGCGCACTGGAGTCACTGGTTCCCGGTCCTGCACAACAGAGATAATAAAACGATGGTTGGTTAAAATCCCGATCTCCTCTCCTTCCAGTTTAAAATGCTGTAAAAATTTCTGTATAAAAGCGTATGCTGGTGGGAGATTAAAAGCTACTGGGGTTCTAAAATCACTCTTTAAAAGTTTCAATTTCCTCAGGTAAGATCCAAACCAAAATCTATTTATGGCATTTGTCTTTGGATTGTTAAAAATGTCCATGGCTTGGTTAAAATGAGTGCTGATATAAAAGCTGCCTAAAAACATGTACAGGCCTGGGACTCCTTTCCCCCCTTTCTCTTTGGGTTTTGTCATAGTTTCTCGTTTTAGTCTTTCCCATTTGGAGTCCCAGATGAAATAAAAAAATGTCCCGTTGCAGCTCTAAAAACACTCTCCTAGGAGGAATAAAAACAAAACTGGTTAGTAAAATCACTGCTTTTACTATTAAAATCTTCCCCTCTATTAAGTTCCTCATTGACCAGAAACCTAATCTTTGTTTTACTTTTCGTGTTATTTCTGTCCAATTTATTTTCCCTTCGCCATTTTCATCAAATCTAACACCTAAAATTTTCTGTTCTTGAGTCACCTGAAACTGTAGTCCTGTTTTTTCATTTTCTTTCCATGGTCCGTAGAATTGTGCTTTTGTTTTTTCTCTGTTTAATTTTGAGCCTGACGCTTTACCGAACCATTCCGTTAATTTAAAAACTCTATCTACTGATAAAAGATCTGTACATAAAATGTTAAAATCATCCATATATAAAAGACATTTGGCCACCTGCCCTCCACTCCCCGGTAAAAACACGCCTGAGATCAGTGGGTCCCTTCTCAAGATCTGCGCGAGCGGCTCGACGCAGGTCACGTAGAGAAGGGCGGATAACGGACAACCCTGACGGACACCGCAGTTCACTTTCACTGCTTTTGTCAGAAACCCGTTAACCATGAATCTGCTGGAGATGTCTCTATACAGCAGTCCCACCCACACTATGGACCTCCCAGGAAAACCCATTTTTTGCAGTACCTGGAGAAGGTACTGGTGCGAGACCCGATCAAAAGCTTTCTCGAAATCTAGATTTAGGACTATCAGCCGAATGTTTCTGTCTCTCGCAAAACAGATGGTGTCTCGGATCAGTACGAGGCTGTCCGTGATCCTCCTTCCCGGCACCGCGCAGGCTTGATCCGGGTGGATTAGATCCCCCAACACTCGGCGCATCCTGGCTGCTAAAAGTTTACTAAAAAGTTTACAATCCACGTTTAACAGGGTGATGGGTCTCCAGTTTTTTAGGTCTCTTTTGTCTTTGTCTTTATATAAAAGTGTAACTGTTCTAAAACTATCTGGGAGTGTATAGAGTTTATTAAAATCAGTAAAAACAACAATTAAATCCGGTGCTAAAATGTCCCAAAATGTTAAATAAAATTCTAAAGGGAGTCCGTCTGAGCCTGGAGATTTTCCTCTTTTAAAACTCTTCAGTGAATTAAAAAGCTCTAAAAGAGTAAAATCCTGCTCTAAAAAACTAGTTTCTTTTAAAACATTTTCAAGAAAATTCAGAGTTTCGTTTATCTGTTCTTTGTTGACTACGTTTCCTGTATATAATTTACTATAAAAGTTTTCAATTACTTTTTTCTTTTCCTCTATGTTTGACACAATGTCACCATTTTCTAACTTTAATTCAGATATGAAACTCGGATTGTTTATTTTTTTTTTAAAAAGTATCTAGTGCATTTTTCTCCTTCTTCTATTTCTCTTTCTCTACTTCTTAAAATAACTCCCTTACTTTTTATTTCTACTAAAATGCTCATTTCTTTCTTTACTTCTCTTATTTCTTTATTAAAATCCATTCCCTGTTGATTTAAAAGGTGATATCTTTGTAAACGTTTCTGCAGCCCCATCATGCATCTGTTCTTTTTTCTTTTTCTTTTTACCTGCTTGTCTGAAGAAAGTCTGGGTCCTACCTTTTACCATCTCCCACCACTGTGCTCGTGTTTCGTACAGGTCTTGGAGGGTCTGCCACTCGCGGTACCGCCAGAGGCGCAAAAAGTGGGTATGCAGCGTATGCAACGCATAGGGGCGCAGCACCAGAGGGGGCGCCAAAACCCCGTCTTGAGGGGGCGACGCGCCAATTATGTTTTCCCATACAGTTCAGCGCGCCTCACGCTCCTTCACCTCTCGCACATAACGAGGTAAATGTAGCGATTTTTACACTTCACGCATCGTCACCCGGGGGGGAGGATGGGGGGCGCCGATTTATGTTTTCGCATCCACCTGAATAATGTGCAGTTGCGCCACTGGGTACCGCTCCCTGTACTGGCTGACCAGAAACTGGTCCTCCAGCAGGGAGCGGTTGAGCTTCCACAGACCTCCACAGAAAGCGTGCAGGATAGAAGGAGGTGATCAGAAAAGAAAGCCGGTGACAATCTAGCATCGGTTAGGGCGCAGTCCCTTGTGAAGAAGTAATCGATGCAAGAGGCCTTAGAGCTATCATCACTGACCCAGGTGTAGCCCTCCTCTCCAGGATGCATGCTTTTAAAACAGTCCACTAGTTTAAAATCTCTAACGATTCTCTGTAATAAAAGCGATGTCTTGTCTACCTTAAAATCTTGTCCTGCTCCTTTTCTGTCTTTTCTATTTAAAACACAATTAAAATCCCCCCCATAATAAAAGGTTTTCTTCCCAGCATGTGGGGCTGCAGTTCCTCTAAAAAGTCGTACCTGTCATGTTTGTCACTAAAACCATAAATATTTAAGAGGTTAAAAGTCAGATTTGCTAAAAGTGCTCGTCCCTCTCCCTCCACGGTGCTCCCCTTCACCAAGATGTGCGGGTTATTTATTAAAATGGCCACGCCGTCATTTTTATTCTCATTGGAGCCGCTCCATATAGACGGTCGTGGCCGCAGATCCTGCCACCGTGTGTAGGTCTTTAAAAACGGGATTGCACATTCTTGTAATAAAAACAAATCTGACTGTACAGAACTTAAAAAGGATAAAACACTCTGGGCTCTAACTCGTGACTTCACACTTCTAACATTGATGGTTGAGAAGGTGAGAGTCATGAGTATAATGACTAAGAACAGGGAAGACATTTTAAAGGATTAAAACAGTAAAAGCCCGTTTAAAACCAAGTTAAAATGGGCTCAGAGACTGTCCTGTGAACGGAGCTCGTCCTCAACCCCGCATGGTGGTGCAGGTCGGACCTGAGCTCCGTTCCCCCTTCGGACTCTCGGTTTCGGACGTTTTTCTAAAGCCGATACCTTCGATGGGTCCTCCGGGGTTGATTGCTGAGCAACATGTTGAAAAGAGGCCTCATCGGCTGGATCAGAGAGGAAGAACTTGGTCTCCTCCCCGAATGAACCGAAGAGGTTCTCAAGTCTTCCTCTCTTCTCCACCGCGATGGTCTGGTCGGAGGGAGACTCTGATGCTGGCCTCTTAGCCAGTTGGGGGAGGGGGGCATCCTCGCTGCTGTCAGACTCCATTTCCTGAGAGTCGTAGCTAGCTCCGCCTTCGGTCTGCATTTCCCCCCCGTCACTAGATGTTTCGGCCTGGGGGGTCTCCTCCTTCCCCTCCCCCTCTCCCGTCTCCTCCTCCTCTCCTCCAATCAGAGGAGCCGACGGGAGATTTGAATTTTCCAGCCCAACGGCTTCAATTTGCTCACTTACCATGTCCGCTTGTTCCACTTCTTTTGCCTTTTTCAGTTTATTTGCAAAAGATTTTGGACAGTCTCTGAACAGATGGTCTTGCTCGCCACATAAATTACATTTCCGCCCATTCATACATTCATCAAACGTGTGTCCCACTTCTCTACACTTACCACAAAATACCTTATCACAAGCCTCGGCCAGATGACCGTGTTCACCACACTTACGGCAGAGTGACAAAGATTAACGAACCTCTCGAAACAGTGGTAACAGCCAAGTCACAAAGACTAACGCTATTACCACCCAATGGTGGCGATCGCTGTCCACAGGAACAAATTTGTTACCTAAAACCTATCATAATGGTTACGCTTCTGGAAGTAGTTCTTTGGAACAGATCTTTCAGTCATGGTTGCATCTTTGCTCGATTATTCTGTATTTATTTGTTCAGTTGTATACTTGCCACTTGCTCAATAAAGCTTTAAATGAAAAAGAGAATTGGAAATTTTGTTCAACTAAAAGTTTACAAAACGGCCAACTACATAAACGCTTTAGAATTTATCCATAAAAATGAATTTAGGGGAAGCTTGTGACATCACAATAAAATAAAGTATCCTCTGGGGGAAAAAGAGTTAACTACAGAGAATAAAACGTAGATCAATAAAATACAAATAAATTGTTTGTATTAGTATACGCACAAGGATGTCTTTTATGTATTTATTTTGTTTGTAAAAGTCCACGGGGTAAAATATCTGGGTCACAACTTTTACCCGAACTTCTAAACAGAGACACAGGTGTGACAGGAGGGGGGGCAGGTGCGCGGTGTGAGGAGACGCTGAACGTCGGACCGGTGCAGCTCCAGAATTTTAACCGGAGAAACATTATCTTGGGCTGTAGGGGGAATGCTTGACTCACGGCTGCAGGAATAAAAAGGACCTCTGGATGTAAAATAAAGGCCACACGGGGCAAGGACCGGACCGGATACCTGAGCGATTTGGGCGAAGGACGCTCCAGGACTGAAGGAGGAGACGCCCGGGAATATAACCGCCGACCCGGTGGACAGCAGCGGTGGTGAATGTGCGGTAAAAGATGGTTTGGATGCAGATCTCCAAGGTTTAGCTGCACTACAGCTGGTATATATTGAGGAAAACTCAATCATCGTCCATTGAACATTGACTCACTCCACTATAAATTTCGATGACGTAACGGTTCGTTAAGCGCTCCCTGGTGGTCTAGTGGTTAGGATTCGGCGCTCTCACCGCCGCGGCCCGGGTTCGATTCCCGGTCAGGGAACAGTTGTTTTCTGTCTAAGTGGTGAGGAAATCATCGGAAGTTCCTTTAGCCATTTTCAGCGTTTCTTCTTAACCCTCCTTAAAACGAGCAGCATAAAGAAAGCATTTATTTATTTATTTATTTAATTAGTTTATCAGGAGATCATACATACATTGATATTACATACATTTTGCAAAACTTACATGACTTCTCCGATTTTTATTTTTTTCCCCCGTAGCGAACATAGATCACCGTACTGACAGGAAAGCATTTAAACAAATTAATCCATTGTTCTGTGCTTTAAAAAAATGTTTCTTTCCAGCACTTTTCCATGAACAGTTCGTTGTTGTGCTTCATTTTTAGACATAGACAGTGTATTGTCATTCAATTGTACATTTAAAAATGTACAAATTGAAAGAAATGTCGTAGCAAGGCTCCAATAATAAGAAATAAATAAGCAATAATAAAAGTATATAGCAAAACCAGACTGCCTGAAACGCGAATAACTCCGAGGATAGCTTGCATTGCATGCTGCAGTCGTTTTCACAACAAATGACAAAAGAGTTGCCTCCTTCGAGCCGGATTCGAACCAGCGACCTAAGGATAACTGGCAGACGCCTCTACAGTCCTCCGCTCTACCAACTGAGCTATCGAAGGTAGCTTACTGTCGTCAGCACACTGTGACGTATTTCACAGGGCAGCTCAGTCCTCAGTTCAGCGTCTTATACGTTTTCAGTTTAGTTTTACTTTTATTCCACGGTATCGATAGATGACAGGACACAGAAGTTTAAATTTCATTCATTCTTTATTTTTCTTATTGTATTAATCATTCATACTCCAGCAATTATTTATGCCATATTTACACTTTTTTTTGTTGTTTAACATGTTTTCATGCTTTCAAATCAGCACCCATGATCACGTCTCTCCTTCCACTACAAGATGCCACCGGTGGGCCGATAGTAATCCACACATTTACTGGTGAGGAGAGTTCAGTGGGGATGAGGCATGATGGTGGTTTAAACAAATTAAAAAGTAAATCACACCGTGAAGTTACAGAAGAAGATTAGGGCCACTGAAAAATAAAAACACAATTATGAAATTCACCCCAGAATGCTGAGAATGTTTTCCCCAAATTCTGAGATTACAATAAGAATCCTAAAATTAAAGACAAGTTTAAAGTCTAAATTAAACAGAATTCTGAGTTTATAGTTGGACTTCTGAGAAAAAAAGTAAATTATGTGTTTTTCCAGAGGCTGTAATCTTCTTCCGTATGAATCCCATCTGGCCTCACGCTGCACACGCTCAGAAGGAAACGTCGTGTTGTCTGAGCCAAAGAACAGGAAAACATTTATGACAAATGGAGGTGATTCTGGAAAAGTTTTTAAGACCAAGTTTAAATGCTTCCAGCATCATGACAGACACTGACAGCATGAATACACAGCTGCAGCTTTCAGTTAGAAAAATGTATTACAAGTCACACTCAGATAAAAGTCTACCATGAAATTCCTTTTCCAAAGAAAAGATGCAAATCAGCTTCATTTCTGTACAGAGAACAACAAAAGACGGCGTATTTAATAATACTGTCTTCGTAAACAAAAGGTAACATAAAAAACAGGATAATTAATACAAGATAAATGTACAAAATAAGAAAAAAGGCAATTTATTCTATAATAGTGTCAATAAAATGCTACTAAAAGCAAATATGTAGCTAAAAAATGTAATAAAGACGTTAAGAGTGGAGGGAGTACCATCATTAGGACAACCAGCATCAGGTAGAAGATGATGATGATGATGATGGTGATACCCAAATATAACCCGGATTCTTCTGACCTGGTCATTAACAGAACCTCACAGGTTCCAACAGCTGGGATAAAAAGTGCATCTACAAGTGTTCTCATTGGTCGAGCTTAAAACATGGCAGCCAATCAGAAGCAGTACACTATCTGTTGATACAAAGCTGCGTTCAATGTACCTCAGAGGAAAAGAGTCTGAATTTCTATCGTACCATTTTTGATCTTTACTCTGATGAACAGGTAAATATTTTATCTTCACCAAAAAAGATAAAATTAAAAGCTTCACACTTGTTCAGTTGCCAAATAAGGTCATAATCTATAGAAAAATGTCAGAACATCTTTAGTTTACTTTTTGTAATGGAGAAAAGCAGCTACTGGATGAAAATATACTTTAAATTTCTGTAGTAAACAATCAAACATGAGTAAAGTTCTGACATTGAATGCTAACAGAACCATTTGGAACCTCCTAACCTGGCAGTGAACGCACCGCCAGGTTTGGTTGAGTTCACCTCAACAGGACGAAGCATTCAATGACAGTCAGGACAAAACAGCGAACGCCGGTACCGACTGATATGACTAAGAACAATAAAAACATAAACGCAGTTGCGACCCGGAGGCTCGGTTCTTCCGGATCTTCACAGAACAATCATGAACATGGCGCTGCAGGATCTGACTCAAAGCGAAGAATGAAGTGATGAGGAAACGGTGAGGACCGCTTTGCTCCAGCTGCCCACCAGGGGGCGCCACCTCACCACAGCTTAACAAAGCCAGCCCATCTGTTGGTCCCTCTAGCACCTGAACGTACCACACAAGTTATTTCACTCTACTGCTATCCTAAACTACATTCATACACCTTCTCTCTCTTCTTCCTCAACCTTCCCTCCTCTTCCTCCCTCTCTCCTCTTCTTCCTCCGTCTTCTTCCTTCCAGTTTTTGCTGCATTTTACCAACTTTTTATTCGTTCATTCAGTAAAGTTAACTTGTTCCTGTTCTAGATGTTAGTACCCATTCATTCTCACTCTTGTTTAGTACCTAGACCCACAAGCTTCGTCTTCCTTCTCTTTCTCCTCCTCTTCCTCCCCTCAACTACTCGTTTGATGCGCTGGTTTAAAAAATTTGGAGAAACTTGCATTGAAAGGCTAAGCCAGCGTCATAGTCTGAAGAACTCGGTCGCTGTCCTCCTCATCTCCTCCTAAGTGCTGGCAGAGAGTCTTCCTCCTCTTCCTCTCTCACTTCTCTACCAGTGCATCTTCCTCTGTGATGCCCTGAGCTCGGAGCTCCTCCAACACGTTGTCCAGGTGACCCGGGTCGGGGAATCCGTGGCCCGTCAGGTTGGACCCGAACTCAGTCTTGTGGTGGACCTGAAAGTGAAGAAACATCCCGTTGTTAGCGTGGTTAGCATGGTTAGCATGGTTAGCTTGGAGGTTTGAGCGGACTCCGCACCTCGTTCCAGATGACGGTGTCGGATTCTCCCGTGGTGCTGGACGTTCCGACGGAGAAGATCAGCCGGCGGTCCCACGCCACCAGCAGCAGCCTCAGAACCTGCAGACGGGTCGGAGAGAAGCCGCGTCAGCAGAACCGCCGTTACTGCCTCGTTTTTCAATCTGCAATCTGGAGATTCTTCGATTCTTCCGTCTTTCTGTTGTTTGGTTGTTAATTTGCTGCTGTGTTTGGATCATGGTTCTGCTGACGACCCAGTTTGGACCCACATTTAACATTTAATGAAAAACTTTATTTGTTCCAAAGGGAAACTAAATGTTGTTGGAAGTCATCCGAGTTTCTCTGCAGTCAGTCTTACAGCCAATCTGAAGAGGCCTCTGACTGAAGACTGTCGCTAACATGACCCTCATATCATGCTAACAGCTCAGTATCCAGGCAGCAGAGCAGATATCCCACAGCAACATGTCCTGGATGACATCATCAGCTGTTAGCTAGCTCCGCTAATCCACCGCCTTTCCTTCTGCTGTTCCTCCTTAAATCTCTTTCTGGCTGTTTGGTTTGAAACGTTAGAGTAGGGGATGATCTTTCTTTTCTCTCTGATCTTTTGATAGGCTAATCAGCAGCTTTGTTTCCATGGTAGCGCATCATAAGTGCCAGTGTAAATAAATGTTGCAGGCGTTGTTACCTTGCGCCCCTTCTCGCTGTCTGGGAGGTAGCAGTGTCGCGGGAAGCCTCTGGCAGTGAAGGGCTTCCCCGGGTTCGGGTGCTCTGGTCCCTGGAGGAAAAGCTTCCTGTTAGTGTCTGATGGCAGCACGTCAGCAAGCGGAGTGCGCCGCGGGTCGGTACCTGAATCCCTGGCGGTATGTTGTAGATGATGCGGATGCTCTTGCAGTCGGGGTGACCCGGTAAGGAGTGGGGGATGACGTGGTACTCCATCTTCCCGGCTGGCTGGTTGCCAGTCTTCACGCCGTAGATGGTCTTACAGGTGGGACACTGGAGGCTGAGACAGGAAGTCGGGTTATTTTCCCTCTCAGAGACCTTAGGCTTGTTTCTGGGCCTGGTTCTGGGTCTGGTACTGGACCGACCTGCCGTCCTTGTTGCCATTGTTGTACATCGCCACCAGACACTGGAAGTGGTACTGGTGTCCGCACTGGGTGAGGCGACCCACCGACTCTGCCTTGGAGACGGGTCCAACGCCCGGACCTTTGTACCCGGACGGGCCCCCAAGTGGCTCCATGCAGATGGTGCAGTCCTGGAAGAGACCCACAGAACCAACGTTAGTCTGCAGTATCTTCACAGATTCATCAGCAGTGACAGTCAGAGGCAGGACTCACCTCCTCTGGAGGACTTTTTACTTTCTGCAGGTATTTCTTCACAACCTCCTCTGGAGTTTTACCTGCAGAAACACAAGAAATGAAGAGGGAAAGTGTAAATCAAGCTTTTTTACAGATTTCACATAATTTAATGCAGAGGATTTGAAAAGATTGATATTTCAACAGACTTCAACAGAAATATCAACACAGCTCACTAAATCACAGTATCATCAACAAATTCATTAATTTTACAAATTTAATTCCATGAAACATCCGTTTAGGCTCTTTACACACAGAGAGTTTTATATCAGAGAGCAATACAGAATATTTTTGGCAACAGACTGATACTGATACTTCTAACAAAATATTTAAAAAACATAATATTTGTGTATATTTTCCTAAATGAACAAACTGCAAACAAAATTATCATTTGAGAGAAAACTGAAACAAAATCTTTTTGGGGGAAGAGTTGAGAAACTATAATACCAAAATAAAACAAAATTAAGAGGGAATCTGAAACTAAAGTATGGCTTTTACCACACTATTATCGATCTGATACTGATATCAACTTGATATTGATATTATTGATCTGCCTACTTTTATGTTATATTATATAGATTATATACAAGTTTTTCTGTTCATTTCAATGATTACGACTTTCAGTTAAAGAAACCTTCAAACTTTTCTAACAGTTTTCCTTCCACTCAATTTTCCATTGAAATGCCTAGTTTCCACCAGAAAGTTCAGATGACGACAGAAAACATTTGAAGCACATGATGATGATGATGACGACCTGAGAAGCGGTTGCCAGGTTGGAGCTTACCTTTGCGGACCTGCTTCTTGGTGGTCTTCCTGCAGGAGTGGTTGAAGCCCGGTACCGGCTTGATGTCGCTCTTGCTGATGGGTGGGGGGTGCAGCACCAGCTTGGGCGGCCGGGTCAGGCACACGGGCAGCGCCGCGGCGCTCATCAGGATCCCGGTGATCCCTGGAACAGAGAGCAGAGCGGGTGGGATCCGGCCCTCGGCTCGCTCTGCGATCCGATGAAACCAGCTGCTGGTTCTTACCGGCCAGCGCGGGGTGGACCGGGCTGGACCCGTTCAGGTTCTTCACCGGGACGGTGGGAACGCTGCGGGAGAAAACACACGGCGGTTAGTGAGGAGCATTCCCACTGCTCCCAGGCTGGTGGAGTCCAGAGGAAACTCACAGACAAACTCTGATGACCGTCATTCCCAACATCTAAAACCCGGTTCAACAGGCGGTGAGCCAGAAGCAACCGGGTCAACCGGACCGATCACCACGGAAACAGAACCGCTCACTCGTCTGATGAGAGCGACTTCCAGAGGCGTTTTCAGAGCTAATCCTGGGAGTTTCCATCGGCTCAGAGACGGACGTCAGCCAGAGGATTACCTGATCCGTCAGCAACACCGTCATCATCCTCAGAGAGCAGCCAGAGCGCACGTAGCACACAGACACGCTGTGGATCACTGTGTGGATCACACTGTGGATCACACTGTGTGGATCACACTGTGGATCACACTGTGTGGATCNATTAAAATCCTTAGTATGAAGGTTGAAAATTTTCTAGAAAAAAAAATTATCCACTGTCTTTTTTTTATTATTATTTTGCACCACATGTGCAAAGCTTATAGTTGTCAGTCTCGCCTGAATTTCACTGTCCCTGAGGTTCAGACATTGCATGATAGTAGAGAACCAGGTTAGCCATAGCACTATTGGGATGGACCTTGCATGATCTTCAGTCATTGCACACTGGTGGTGGACCATGTCAAGCCTGTCCTGGTTCTTACCAAGGGCAAGTCTGGCTTGCACAGGCTTGTTACTTAACTGTCAGAAATGATCTGCCCACATCAGGCAGGCCCCACTCAATTTCTTCAGGAATTAAATGTCTAGTTTTCCCATTGCTGTGGTGCTCTGCAGCTACTGTAATTTTTAAACCTTTAATAAATGACAAAAAAAGGGTTAATTGCCTCGCTTCTTTGAACATAACAATGATCAAATATATAGATGGTCACGGTTTATCATGGTTTGTTACATTTTGACAAAATAAAAAATTAACAACAGCAATTATGTAATTATTCACCAATATAAAAGAGCAATTTGCTTAGTCCTCTGTTACATCTTGATAGAAACCAAACTGTTTATAGATTTATATCAAGGGAGAATACTTAAAAACATCAGCAATTTTCTCAGCTTTAATTTGAGCCATATTTATAGAAATGAGGACAAATAAAGGCGCTGCAATAATTTTTGTGACAGATTCCTGCTCATCCTGCATTGGAACAGTCTGGTTTTATGGACACACTCACCACGTAGTAATGGTACCTGCAGGAGCTACGTTTGTTCCTTTATTTTTTGAAAGAACTCTGATTTACCTTATGAAAAATTGTAAAATATAATTTTATTTTGCTGTCTTTGTTTATAGTGTATTGCCTCAAAATACTTAAACTAAAAACAGTTCCATTTCCATCTTTTTTTCTCAGAAATAATTCAAATGTTGCTTTGGTCAGTGGTTGTTTTAAATTATAGAGTGAGCATCTCCAGACACCAGATGGCAGTGGAGTTAATGTATATTTAGTGTGTTTTTCTCTTTTTACAGTGAACAAGAAGAAGAGACCAGTGAACACAAACAAACCTGTGATTCCTGGCTAGACTCTATTATTCATCCACAACAGTTCTGTTCCTGAAACACCAGGATAATGGCCAATAAGAAAAAAGTAGTGGTGACAGGTGAGATTCTCTGATTGGTTTAGTGGTGAAAGTTAAATGTGTTTCGATGCGTGTGTTTGATTTCTCAACAGTTCTGTGGAATTAACATGCATAAGAGAGCTGTGGTTAAAAAAGGATTTAGCTGTTGCCAGGGCAACATAATGCAAGATGGCACAGCTTTCAAGCATCTGCACATTAGAGTGATTTTGCTGCAGATTTCTGGATTAAATATGAAACTGAGAAAATAATGAGTCATCATGCGCCTTTGCTACAATTAATGTTTAACTTGATGTAAACTTTAGACTCTGCTTAAGGGCTGACACACGTCCGCATGCATACCTCCTCCATGTGTCTGATGCTGCAGGGCCTGACAGTTCTCTGTTTCCTGCAGGGTTTGAGCCCTTTGGTGAGCACACTGTGAACTCGAGCTGGGTGGCAGTACAGGTAATCATCGGGTTGTGTGTCTAATTTAATAACTTTGCAACAGTCTTCTGTCATCCATCATTGTACATCCAGTCTATGTGACATTTTTTTAATGAGCAGACATTCCTGCTTTTTATGAGAAAAATGCTTTAACACACATCTGTTGTGAATGCTGAGCAAGATCTGTTCTAGTGACAACATAATTCTGTGTTCAGTTAGACACTCCACAGGTGACAGTGGTCCTGGCAGTTATTAGCTCGGTCATTTGGCAATTCTATTTGATTTTCATCTGCCTTCGGTGATCCGTCTGGCATTTCTCCCATTGATCTCAATGTCTTTGGTTGAATTTCAACCAGGCGAGTCAGAGAACAGAAGGAAAAGTTGGGAACAATGAAGTTCGTTTTCTGTTTTAGAATTATAGTCTGCCTATACAGGGTTGTAGTTTGGCAAAGTCAAAGAAGTGAATAAAGCTGTTCAGTTCATGTTGGCCACACTTCCAAGTATTAAACAGTTAATGTCCGAGCAAGAGGAATGCTTAAGATATCATAATGCTGGAAAATATGTGGTGGCCCTAGTCCACACGATGTTGTTTACAGCACACGCAGTTTTGGCAAGCTCAAGCTGGTTTATTAAATATGTAATAAATGGCCAAATGTTATACATTGAGTAGAATCTGATGTAGTAATTTAAAACCTCAACACAGTTCATGCCACCAGCAAGCAATCATTTTTCAGTAGTCAAATTTCAGACCCTCTCGACGAAGCAAAGTATTGAGGGGCTGGCTTTTAACATGCCAGGCAGTTGTTGGACACTCTTGGATATCCCGAAGCCTCCTGCACTGCAAAATAGCTTCATATCTTCAGGGCACAAAAACCCGTTAAGTCTTTTATTTATGGATCTTATTTCAGCTTTTCACCCTCTACTGCAATTGTACCAGCACTATGGCTCCAACCTGGATTGATTAGAGCAGGGTTGCCCATGTCCAGTCCTTGAGTAATTTTGGCCTTGGTTGGTAAAGTGTTAATGTGAGTCAACTCCACATCTTAGAGAACAAACTACTACACCTTTTAATTGTGATGTCGGCTTGGTGAAATGAATCTAAGACTTTTTAACATGTAGCCATTAAAGGTGAGTGGTGTTCTATCTAGAAAACAGCTGTGATCCACAGGGGTGTGTCCTTGTCCCATTTTTGTGTCTTTAAAAACAATAACTTCCTCAAGTTCTTATGTCGAGGTTTTCTTGTAACTCCACGCTGTCTACTAGGACACAAGTAATTTTTTTTCTCTCAACTTTGTCAGGAGTTGAGCTTTCTGTGTTTATTTTTATTTTTTTCTGTGTTTATTTTGATCCTGTTCCATGCGAGTCTCTGTGTTGTCCTGTCTGCTCCCTAATTGTTTCCCAGGTGTGTCTAGTTCCCTGATTATCCTCTGTGTATTTAAGCCCACCTGTTGTCTTTGTCAGATCCTTGTCGTATGTTGTCAAGTCTTGTCTAGAGTTAGTAGTCTGTCAGCACAGTTGAACTGTGAAGTCCTGTGTTGGTGTCAGCTCTCGGAGCACTCTTCTCCTGATTAGTCACTACCAGTCTTAGCTTTATCTCTGCTCACTGTGCTGCCTGTTTTCTTGGACTGTTGAGTTGCTTCCGTCATTAAATTCACTGTTCATCTTTCAACCTGGGTCCTTAGCGTTCATTCTCACCACCACACATGATGTAGACTGTCATGCTACATCATGACAGTCTTATCTAATGTTGTCATTTTCATCTGTTAAAGGGCGGCGTCCTCCAGGGCTGCAACCTCAGGAACCTGTCTACCCATATCATGTCCAAAGCGTTTGTGTGTTTGTTCTTTGGATGGGTTGTAGTGAAATGTGAATTTCCCTGTGGGATTAATAAAGTACATTAATTCTTTCACTCATTGATTCAAATTTGCAGATGACACTGTCATAGTTAGACTGCTGCGGGATGGGAGATCCATCATGGAACTGTTTTTGACTGCTTTGTGAATTCAAATTCAGTTCTAATAGAAAATACTTTGTTGATCCCAAAGGGAAATTAAATGGTGCTGTAACTCATTTTAATTCCAGACCCTTCAGAGAGTTATTGCAGATGGTGATGGCTGTGGGCAGGAAGGAGGTCCTATAGAGGTCTGGATTAAAACGAATTTGAAGAATCCTCCGATTTAAGACGTTATGACAGTCTCATGAATAGGATGCTCTGAATTGTTAATAATTTACTTGATTTGTTAGAGTATTAGCTTTTCCTGTGTGCCCATGTGGTACGGGGAACAGATATGTTTCCAGGGAGCAGTAAAACTGTGTGTTTGTGTGTTCATAGGAACTGGTGCGATTAGGATTGGGGGAGATGGTAGATCTTCATGTGTATGAGCTGCCTGTTGATTATCAGGCTGTTCAAGACATTTTACTGTCTCTGTGGAAAGAACATCAGCCCCAGGTATTTAGCAAAATATGTTTTGCCAGAAGTTTACATATACTCATGATCAGCATGAATTGTCGCATTTATTTTGGAATTTTAACAGATCATTTGAATTATTTTTTTCCCCCACAGGGTTAACTCCTTGTAGTCCATAATTTTTTCCTGGTTTTTATTTCAAGACCTAGGTGCACACACTTGCATATGCAGCAGTCAAATTTATAAATTGGATTTTCATATACATGTACATATTTGAAACAAAAGTCCTTAGAAGATAAAATGGAAACCTGCAACTTTTTGTCACCATCTGACTAACTGGACATTTGACTACTCTGCATCAGAATGTGCTCTTCATTTTGGCATGTACTGGGCTTTTCACCATAGTCCAGAAAATGTCTATAGGTTGTAGATTAGCACCATTCATATCAGTCTGATTTCTCCATTCCTGTTTTTGTGTGTCTATGGCATAACTGCCTCAGGTTTGTCCACATTTAAACCACAATCTCAGGCCACAAGAACACCACTGTCCCCATCCTCAAGGAAGAGAGTTTTAAATCAAGAAGGGCTCAACAAGAAAAATGTACCTGCTCTAAAATTATACTGTCAAACTCCACTGAAATTAGAGGTTACTCACATGAACAAGTCTAATCCTTCTGGGATTACTTTTTTAATCCCAGAGGGAAATTAAAAAATGTATAAACCTGTGCATATACTTTTGACAGTGTTGATTTGTTAAAAACTACAATAAATTCATGCCTGCTCATTGTCAAAAGCCACAACTGAATCTGACACCATTCATATTATGAGTGTACATAAACTTCTGACCAGAACTATACATATCTTTATGTTTAATAAACAGTCAGTTAATTTTAAACCTTGGTGTCCTGTGAGCAGCTAGCTGTCCATGTGGGTGTTTCTGGGATTGCAACCTCAGTCACTTTGGAGCAGTGTGGCCACAACAAGGGCTATACACGTCTGGACAACCGCAGCTTCTGCCCTGCCTCCCACTGCTGCATGGAGAATGGACCAGACTACATAAAATCAGTCATAGACATGGACACGGTGTGCAAAAGGGTCAACGGGTCAAACATCGGGATAACTGTGTCTGTATCTAAGGATGCTGGAAGGCAAGTGACTCACGTTACTGGGGTTTATGCATGAAAACCCCAGAACTAGAAGCCAACCTTGACTTTATATGATCTAACTGCCATGTTTTGGACTTGATAGGTATCTTTGTGATTACACCTACTACACCTCACTGCATCAAGGCCAGGGCTACTCTGCATTTGTCCATGTGCCTGCATTAGGAGGACCCTACAGCAGTGAGGAGCTAGGCAGAGGCCTTCAGGCTGTTGTAAAGGAAATGCTGAACTTACTTGAGGTTGATTACAATGAATGGGGGGAAAAAGACAACAAACATTGCCATCATAAGCAATGACACTAAACAGGACCCTTACTAAACCACTTACATTTTGTAGAAATTAATGAAGAGTTGATTTTGTTGTATGATTTAAAAAGTCAAAACAAGTGGAGACCGCCATAGTGATTTGTATATATCACTAGTTTAAAGTGATCCAAACATGAATTTTTCACTTTAATTTCTTTAAGTGTCTATCAATGACAGTAGTGTAAAGGCGCAATAATCTCAGGGAAACTGCAATGGAATCAACACTGTGCACTTGACCTAATAAATGTGCTTATTGTCACTTTGCAAAGCATTACTGTGAAGAAATAAAGTACTTGTTGATATATGTTTTTCGTGGTTAGATCTTGTGCTTGTTGGTTATTTAATAACTTATGGAGCATTATTAGCTTCCAACATAAAGATCCTGCATGTACAACAACAGTTTCCCTGCTGGCCAGGTCAGGAGACATGGGATGCACCGATATGAAAATCTGGGCCAGTATCACTGTCTGATATTAGTACTGTCATTTTAGCAAATAGTATGTATGACTATCATATGTACAATATTTTTTTATATCTTCAACACTGTGTAGCTCAGATAAATCTGGATCTGCCTCAGTTCACCAACCAGTCCACATATGAAGCATAATCAAGCTATG